ACGGCGTATACGACACAAGTTACACAAACAAATAATAACTAATTCACATATTTTGTGTTATTTTTCACACAACAATAATAAAGATAATTTAAAGTTTTAACTTATAAAGACAATAATACTTGATTGAAACAGTTTTAAAATATAATGAATATTACTGCATGAGGTATATAATATCATGATTAAAATTAAAATAAGGGTCTTACAATTAGATACCTACTATGTATGAAAATAAATACATTATATAAATATAAAGAATACAAAATTAAAGACATAAATAAATAATTTAATGTACCTACCTATTATGTTTTTTTCATTTCCATAATTCTATGCGACTATAAATTATAATACGCATATCCTTATGTATCTGTGGACTGTGGTGGTAACTGGTAATTGAATTCATATATTTTGACGTCAAATAATTTGTATTGTTTTTTTTTTGCATAATACCAGTAAGGGGCTGGATAGGCAAATTTATTGAAATTTAGTGCTATGTTTCCAACCACAACGAGCTTCCCGTTCCCGTATATGATATGTACATCAACAAGTATCAAGTATTGAACTCCGTGCATTTGTCAAATCGTATTTTGTGCAAATGCGCTACAAACTAGAAACTACAAAGCACGAACTAAGATAATATTATTATTATATGACAATGCAACTAAGTCTTAGATCTTGGGACAAAGGCTCAAACCATTGTTAACAGGTAGGTACTTATATCTAATATTTTAATAAAAACCTTAGGCTTGAAACTAGAAAGTAGAAATGCTATGTATTTGTATTATAAATTATAGATAGACAGCTGGGAAACTAAATTATATAAGTTTTTCTAAATATTGTAAACACAATAAATTTTCATTTTTGCTATTTTTTTTATGTCTTTAGGCCTTAGCCCTCTCCAATTATCATTTATAGCTGTTTTAGGCTAATACTAGCCCTCCAGTGACGAGTCTAGTAATGAACCTATATTACTATGGTAAAAGCACAGAATTAATGAAATCTTAATTTTTCTTTTACTGCATTTGTTCTGTGCTTTAAAGTGTAATTAGTTTATGACAAAAGGAGATTAGTATAATAAGTATTAATAGTTATTCTCTATTATCATTATGGAAAATTATAATATCAAGCAATATTGTTATACCTATAATTGTATTGACCCACGTGTAATGATAGCCACTTTTCATAAATATACTATCATAAGAAGAGTGTCATCATCATAACCCTAACATATACCTATATAATAATATTGTATAATGACATAAATACATAATGTATATGCAGCCACACAAATGTTCGTGGTCATACACTATTGTACCCTTTTTCTTTGTAAAATTAACTGTTTCATCGGCTCGGACGATACCCATCGATCATCGGCCTGATCCTCACAACAGCACTCTCTTCCTGCGTATGCCCTCGGGGGCGGTCATATGTGATGAGGGATATAATATATGTTCAGTATACCTAATATTCGTGTGTCTTAAATAATAAATGTACTTTATAAATATTTTTAAATTTTTAATATATCAATTGCGTTCTTAATTAATACTAATAATATTATAATCAAATCAACATTAAACCGATTTCTTCTTCCTTCGCACATCGAATACATGAGAAGTCTTCAGTCGAACTAGGGTAAGTTAGTTCATTATATAATTAAATCCTTATATATATATATATCCGTATATACACACACAATACACACACATATATATATATATATGATAAGGTGGTAATTTAGTATGTGTGCGCAATGCCGCAATATATATATTAAGTTATAGTAAATAATAGGTATACAAGTAAAAAAGAGATAAACAAGAAACAGTAAATACGTATATATTGCATGCACATCCTATTTTCACATTAGGTACCACACACGTTTCCTCAATACCAAACTAATATTTCAAGTCTATGCCTTATTAAAGAAAAGTTATTTCATGAAGAATCTTCCCAGTAGTAAGGAATTTACTACATTTTAATACAATGTAATTTTGCTACGATTGTCTAGTATTTTATTATATTTAGGCAAGAGTAAAATGATGTACCAAAAGTATTATTATTAATTTTCCATCGGTTGCTTAGTATTGACATACCATCAAGGTAAAACACATGGGAAACGATAATGGAACATTATTATAGTTTGGTAATTAATATTTGATATAATATTAAACCTATACTATTTTAAAGTTTAACGGTTAAGATTTGAAACCATAATCTAGTTTAGATATTACTTTATAATTATTTTTATTAAGATAGCTAATAACGATGTCTGGCACAATGCATCAGAAAATTAAATTAATATCTATTATGTATACATATAATTTTTGATACAATAGAACATGTGTTTTTATACTTAAATTATATTGTTTTATTAACTTATAAAATATATAATACTCAATATTCTTTTGACAGAAAGTCTAAGATTCATCTAAAAAAAGACAATATAAATTTATTAAACATATATAAGAATTCACTTGTAAGGCAAAAAGTAATTATTGAATTGATGTCTTTAGAATTAGCATAAAATGAAATTTACTTGCAAATATTCGAATCCGTAATGGAAACTAGGAACAATAACTACGACTATGACTTATGAGTAATATTAAAAACAATTAATTCGGTATTTTGTATTATCTTCTTCTTGTCGTATAGGTCTTCATATTCCCTTCCCTTCCCAATAAGCAGCAATTTGTATTGCCTTGTCTGAAATTTCAAGAGTCAAAAAATCTTCCTTCCTACATTTAATCGGTAGTAATGGGCATGCAAACAGATGGTCGGCATCCTGCAATATTCCTGCTCCTCACCGCATTTGCATTTTCCATCCTCTTAGTTTGGAACCTATTTTGTATTATATGAAAAGGCCACATATTATGCAATTTAAAATGGCCTAAAATATCATTATTTTTTAAGTTTTAAAATATTTCAAAAATGTCCACCTTAGATTGTCTAATTTTGAAAATATTACATACATAATCATTAATCAGTCTTGAAATTGAAAGACACTGAAATATAATACCGTTATAGGATATTATATACTTAAGTAAATGAATGAATGATGTTTAAAAAATAAACAAAACATATAATTTTATTATGCATCATACCTAAATTACAATTTTTAAAGAAATGTAATGCAAACTATTGTAAAATTAAATTTATAAAGACTTAAATTACACTTATGTTAACTAAAAGACTGTACACTTTATAAAGAAAAATAGTCTACATGAAGCTCAAATTAGCAGCCTTACTCCTAAAATTAATAATTATTCACTTGGACAAAAATAAATTATATCCTTACATCACAGTCAAATTTGTTTATTTCCATTTATCGGTTTACAAAATATTAAATCAGCAACACTTTACAACAAAATGTATATATATAAAAAAAGACAACAATATAATAACTACTTACTGATGCATAACTATGTAAATGGAAATAAACATTCTGAAATTTAAAAAAAGTTCTAAAATATCATTTATTTTATTTCTTTTTATAACATATTAACATATTAAATGTATATTTAAGCTTTTAAATTAAAAATACATTTTTTTCAAAGGAGTGAGCCTGCTACAGTTGTCGATAATTATCACCGAACATAGCCTGACCCACAAGAATATCACAGACATCAAAGCCATTTGGCTAACTTTTAACTAGTAATGTAATAGTTACTTTTTACATTTTACTATACAAAAATAAAATATAATACCTGTATAATATTTAGGAATTATTTTTTGAAATAAAAATAGGGGATCATTTGAGTTTCATACAGTATTATAACCACACTTCTGTTGCCAATAGAAATTCCCTGGGTCAGACTCAGAATATTACACTTAAAAAAAAAAAAAAAACATTATTTAACATTTATAATATACGACATTTAATAAACAATGTTGTATTCTGTATACCACGAGTTATTAAATAATAACACTTAAAATTGTTTTGTATCATAACAATAGAATGGCACATAGTAGCCAATAAATGATAATAAAATTAATTAAACTCACTAAAACAAAATAGTTGTACATTCATTTAATTATTTTTAATATAATTTTTAAACCTTTAAAAAATATACACATTACATGTTTTTAATACAAAGCAAATATTAAACAACAAAATATGTTAAATTGTATCAATGAATTAAATCAACTAAAATAAAATATATATTATCTTATAAACGGTTTGAATAAGATTATAGAAGTGAAAAGGTGGCGCACAGTAAGAAGAAAATACTAGTATTTTAGTTGCTGAGTTATTGGTATTTGATTTTTTTTTATAATAAATAATTTTTACATACCTATAATTTATTAGATGAAATGAAAATGACCATAAAATAACTTACAAAAATACAAAATACAGAACATATATTATGTACATAATTTTTAAGATATAAAACGTTAACATATTATTCTAAATTGCATAAAATACATTACAGAATAAATTTTAATTAGGTCTGGTGTGGGTTGTAATTAAACTTTTTTTCTAAAAATAAATTTTTAGTGAAATTAGGTAAAATATTAACTGCTGGAACCAAATGCTTACAATTATTTGATGGTGAGATTTTTAAAAAATAAGTTTCACAATTCAAAATATCAAATATTAAGACAATAGTTGATAAGATTTATTTATTTTCACCAAAATAATATTAAAAAAGAAGTCATTTAACAGTTTGGTGTATAAAGTTAGTATATATTATATGACGCAAAGTTTTAACTAAAATTAAAAAACTAATTTATTAATATGTTATTAACATATCCCCAAATTCTGTGCGCCATCAAATATGTTGTCAAATTTAATTGAATATCCAAATAATAATTGTTTATCTGTCTAAAAAATATTATTGACCTCAACCTGTTTTTAAATAAGCTATTGTTAACCACAGAATATAATTATACAAATATAATGACAAGAATCAGTTCAAACATTGAACAATTTTAGTATTACATTTAAACTTTGTTACACAATAAAAACAATGTAACTTACAAAATATACAAAGCAGTAAATCCATATTTTACCGAATCCTTCTAACTGGTTTTAAAATTTTTCTTTTAGGAGGTTGCTCAGCTGTTTCTGGTTTGGCACTATTAATAGAAAATATTATGAGTCAAATAATTTAAAAATAATGAAAACAAAATATTCAATACTTACGTAAATTGAGTAGTTGCTCCACCAGTAAAATTAATGGATATAGGTGCGTTGGGGTCTAATTTAACAGTTTGTTTCGTACTTGGCTGATTGAATATATTATTTGATGTACATTTACTCTGATCATCATCCTATAAATAATTATTAATTAATTGTTTTTTTTAATGTTATATAAGTATGTTATAATATATTGATGTGGTTTTTACCGTTGCGGACATTTTTGTAAGCCCTCCAGTATTGGGAACACTAAATACAGGTGGAGATTGTGCACCAAATGAAAATCCAACATTATTCGTAGAATTGAATGAATTAGAAGTTTGAGCTAATTGTTTTTTATCATTGTCATTAGTAGTCTTAGAAAAAAAACTGTTGGAAATCTGTGGAGCCAATGAACCAAATGAAAATTGAGGTATAGAAGAACCCAATATTGCTGGAGTAGATGTAGTAGGTCCACTACCAAACATTGAATTACTTGCACCAAACACTGGAGCAGTACTAGGAAAACTACTAGTACCCATTATCGAAGAAGTAAATGGTTTGTTATCACTAGTGGCTGATCCAAATGTAAACATTTTATGATTTTTTTGCTCAACGGGCACATTTTGATCTTGTTTTGCCAAAGAACCAAAACTGAATAATTGAGAAGTCTTAATCAAACCTGGCTTTTGATCTTCATTTAATGTTTCATTAGGATGTGAATGACCATTTACCAACTGATTTGTATTTTCAATTGCAGATTGAACAGGCTGAGTAGAACCAAAATGTACTATTGGCTTAATTTCAATTTTTTTATCCCATACAAATTTCACTTTAGACAGATCTTCGTTTTTGTGTTCAACATTTATTAACGGATTTGAGTTATTACAGTTAGTTTCAACAGATCCAAAAGATACTTGGGGACTTGAATTTTCACTTGCATCATTAACTTTACGCTTATTACTTTTGTTTTGTAACTCTAATGAATTTTCAGATTCTTCTTTTTTATTATTAACTAGTGACTTAAATTCGTTTGTTGGTTTAGTAACTATATTACTATTAATAACAGTGTTCTGAAGAATTGGTTTTTCAGTTTCTATCTTATCTGAACCAAATTTAAATTGTGCAATTGGTTTGTTAGTTGTGGCATTTTGACCAAACTTAAACTGTTGATCTTGTTTAGATTCAAAACCAAACTTAAACTGGGTTTCGGGATGATCAATATTATTGATAACTGATCCTTCGTTAAATTTCTTAACTGGTGAACTAGATATACTATCTGTGCCAAATTTAAATGTACTAAGAGGTTGTTCAGTTTTATTGTTAACTATACCAAATTTAAATTCACTGGCAGAAGTATCTAATTTTCCATTATCAGAACTTGTAAATGGCGCAGCACTTCCAAATTTAAACGTATTATTAGACTTTTGATCAACTTTACTATCAAATCCAAATTTGAACTCACTAGCGCCAGAATTTTCAAAAGTGTTATTATTTAATCCAAATTTAAATTGAGTTGAAGGTAAAGGTTTATTTTCTGGAGCAGACCCAGGCTTTGCTGTCCCACACGAAATACAAGTGGTACAATCACTTTTATTTTTCACCCAACATCCATCACAAGTCCATGTAATACTTTGTACGACAGTTTTCTTTGTAGTTCCAGGCTTCTGTGATTGACATGCAACACATACTTCAATTTCATTTTTATTGGGAACCCAACAAGTTTCACAAGTCCATGTACTTGATTTGTTAACTTTTAATAATGGTGTTTGGGACTTCTCAGACTTGGGAGTTTGACATGCAATACACTTCATTATATCAGCATCATTTGAAACCCAACAAGCATCACAAGACCACTTTTTTTTTAATTCAGTTGATGATTTTTCTGGTGGTAATTGATATTTATTTATAATTTCTAGTTTTTTAGGTGAGCTGTCAACATTTATATTCACAGGTTCTGTAATTTCTGATTTAGAGCCAGAACCTGGAAATGATGTCTTGAGAGAATTTTTAGGATCATCAACCACACTACTAAATTGAGACAATGTGTCATTTTTATTTGAATTCTCAATTCTCAGTATTGCAGTATCATTATTTGTAATTGCTACTTTCTTGGATTCTTTAACAAAAGATTCACTTGTAGAAGTATTAAAATTTGTACTTGGAATTTTGGTACTAGATTGATCTATACTATTTACCTCAGTGTTAGTATTTTGTGATTTCTTCAAAGTAATTTTATGTTTTTTTCTACAAGTTTTTTCTGCAATTTGTGAACTAAACTGTTCTATTGTTAATGGTTGATTGAATGTGAATTCATTATCCTCCGCAAAAGTATTTGATAAATTGATATTTGGTAAAGCAGTCAATGGTAAAGAAATCCTAGGCAAATTGACTTCGGCGGGCATTTCAAGTTCATCAGACTTCAAACCAAGCCCCTTTTTTGAAAGATTTACTCTAAGTTTTCTTGTTGTATTTGCATCTACTCGGCCGGAATAAGTTGATCTATAAAAATAATAATATCTTAATTACATATTATTGTCAAAATGTACATTAAAAAATTTTTTTTTACTGAACCTGTTACTATTGGAAGATAAATATAATAATATAAAATAAATTTAAAAATAGATGCTTGAAAGTCTCGCAGTGACCTTATTTTTAAAAATAAGTTTATTCAACAGTACAAAGAAACAGTATGAAGAAAGGTACGATAGGTGTACTCTGATTCAACCAAAATTTTAAGGAAAAAAACTCTCATTTACAAAAAAAATAATAATTGAAATGTTATTTTTATATTTTGTAACTTAAAAACACAAAATTGAAGTTTTTTTGAAAGTGCAATCATATAAAGCATGCAAAAAACGAAGTAAATAAATAAATAATTGCCAAAAATCACTTGGAAGTAATACGGCATTCATTCCAAATATTCTTCCTAAAAATGGAACTAGTGCTGTTATAACTAAAAGTGTCAATCAATGTTGGGGGGAATGAGGGGATCTATATATTTTTCAATCTGATAACCATTAATTATATTATAAATAATCATATAGTGCGTGTTAAAAATCAGCCACAATACATCTAGGGTTGCCACCTCTCCGGGTTTACGAATAAATCCACGGGCTCCGGGTTCAGTGAATTATTCTCCGGGTCGAAGATAAAGATAAGATAACATACAATTTAAAGTCTTATATAGACTTGTTTTTATTATTATGCCTTTTTTTTTTATTAGTTTCCGGTATAAAAACCATTTATGAAGATAACAAGAATAATAAGATTATGAACTACGGTTTATGAGTCTACGAAAAACGAGTCAGTTTCAACATCACAGTCGAGTGTGTTTGATCGAATCCGAATATCTGGGTTTAATTTTTATGTCAGTGTAACTGTGCATCGATATTAATTTTAGATTTAAAAATGGAAATGGTTAAATCAGAATTCTGCGTCAAATTAAATTACAATATGAACTGTCAAGAATTTTTGTACTTTTTAAAAAATCCCGAACAAGAAAAATAATTGAAATGTGCAACAAATAATATTAAGTATGATTTTAAATTTAAATAATTTTTCTTGTTCGGGATTTTTAATCATATTTTTATAATATAATTTGTAATTTTCAATAATAAAATATGTGATTATATTAATATTTTTTTTGTTGGAATTTCATTACTTATCATTTCACTTCAACTAAGCTATAGATTATACTACATACTGGTGTATACTAGCTAGCGTCTAGCTGATGACCTTTTTTTTTTGCTTATCATCCTGTCTGCGGGGCTGCTTTCTTTCAAAGGTGGCAACCCTAGCCACATCCCCCGTCACCACGGATAAAGATACTATGGTTGCACAACGAGCAATAATACAACGGCGCCAAATGTTCTTATCAAGTTACATATATACATACAAAGTCGCGACATACTAACGCTCCACAGTGGGTAGGTAACCAGGTTTGGTTACCGTAACCTAGTAGTGGTTGTAGAGGGCGCTAGTAAAAGGCGACTTTTTGTCAGAATTGATAAGAACATTAGGTGCCACTCGGTGCTGGATCCAATATGGGCCGTCGTGCAATCATAGTATCTATATCAGTGCCCTTCACTAATCATTTGTCTAGGTGGCAATGATCAGAAAAATACTGGTCTTAAATTGTTGAAAGATTCCTAAAATAATCGAGAGTAAGTAAATTGATTTAAAACGATTTTCCATTCAAATTAATTCACCATAAATATTGGCAAATTTTGAATATGCACTATAAAGTAGTGATGCAGTAGAACGCAGTTTTTTGTCATACAAGCATAAACAAATCATCATTTTAATTTCACAGAACTAATATGGAACATACTGTTGTATTCTTTTGCTTTAAATCAATGTAAATAATTTAATAATAATTAAGTAAATAGTATACTGTATATTTTCTTGTATATTTTTTCATTAATTGTTCAATTAGTTTAAAAATTGGGTCTTTAGTTATATTATAAGCATTTAAAGTTTTGATGAATAGAGTGGTTACTCTTAAAAATGTTGGTCTACAACTCCACTCATCATAACATTAAATGTATAGCTAATAAATTAGACGCACAAAATTTGAATTTGATAGATTAACTCCGTGTTAATTGTTATTTGAAATTATTAATATGTTTGTTGGTCATGTTATCTGTTAGTCTTGTGTTACATCATTTATTATACATTATTACTTGTTAGGTTGAACTGTGGTCACACCGAGATACGCCTATAACCTGTTGTATAACATATTTTACTATTATATTGTACTAGTACGTTTTTTTGAATACACACATTACAATACAACTCATGTAAAATAATAAAAAACAAATTTTTTTCACAAAAGGGGTTCTTTTTATAAAAGTACTTTTATATTTATTATTTAAGTTTTGAACGTATAAACTTTATAAAGTATAAATTCAGTAAGATGATTAGAACATCAAAATTACAAGACTTATAAGTGGAAAGAGAATACTTTATATAGCTGACATTAACTAAACCAGTACCAATAATAAAAAATTTTAATGTTTTACTTACAAGATTTCACTAGACTTGTTATCCGCTTTCTCAGGTGTTGTTTCAACAATTCTGACAGTGGATTCTACTTTAATAGGTACATTCTTTTGATCTGCTTTATGCCTTTGATGCACTTTAGGTTGAATAATAAATTTATTTTCTTCAATTTCCTTGTTCTGAAATAAATATAAACTATTATAACTATATAGTTTCTTGTTGTAAGCAGTATGCTAATTAAGTGTTTAAAGAACAGTCTTGTAAAGTATTTGAATGTATGTATTCAAATAAAAGTATTTAAATACTTGAAAAAATTATTTGAACACTTATTCTAAATATTTTTTTTTAAATTGACAAAATAGTTTATATTTGTGACGATCAAAATTTTTATATAAAAAATGAGGCACATTATACCTAAGTAAATAATAGTTTTTCTCTCAGAATAAAATATGGTTGACCCGTGTTAATTTCCAACCATTCCAAAACTGACAAATATTAGCTAGGGAAAAATAAATATTCTAATAGTATTTGTATGTACTGTTTTTAATAGACTGTTATAGAGAATACAATTGATAGTTACTATTCTTATTTTCTTATATTATTATTTATTTTACTAACCTTAGTAGAAATATGTCCCAAGAGAATAGATGAGGTTGTTCTAATTTCACTATTATTTGTAGAAGATATTGGAATCACCGCTTTTCTATGAATTGGTGGAGTATTTCCTAAAATTTTTGACAAGTTGGAACGTGCAGAACTGCCCCCATACATAACTTGAGAACAATTTAAAGGTGACTTTTGGGCAAATAATTTTTGACGCTCTGACAACTGAAATTAATACACATAGTCAATTAATATAAATATTTAATTTATTGTAATGAATACCATCAAGTATAAAATGGATAACTTACTTCTCCATAGTTGACAAATGTGTCCCATCTAAATGATGCTGATGATACATGATTTGTGGAAGTTTCATGAAATTTTATCGAAGATTGTTGATGTGATTCATTCTCCCCTAAAATTAAATGTTTGATAAAATTACAATTGAAAATTATAATATAATCCATTTAAAAGAAACAAGCAAAAGTTGTCTTTAATATGCATAAATATCATTGAAAAACTTTCATATAAATTATTGATAATTGTATTAAAGACTTATTATTACTTAAGTGCTTCAGTAAGAATAAGACTGTTATCTTAATTGATATTTTTATTTCTAATATTAATTAAGGTACTTTATAGCAGTATTATACAAAATTAAATATTATGGAATTAGCAAATCCAATAATGAACGGGTCCAATACTAAAAATATTTTCAAATATTGTTATTTTATATTAAGCTCATAGATTTCTAGAAGACGAGGATATTGTTTATCTAAATAATAAAAATTCATTACATTTTATGAAATATTTATGAACCAGATTTCCTCTTCGAGAAGACATAGTAGCCGCATTGCATATGTGGTGTGTCTCTCACACACATACGACATGGACATTTTTTCGTTCACCAGTTCCAATAGTGTGCTGTTAGTTTTAGTATTAAGATAATGTGATACCACGTATAGACTTAAGAAATTCTACGCTCAGCAGAACACGTGTATCTCCGTAAAATTTAAAAAAAACAAGAGCAAATTGACCTCTTATAAAATCTAAAGGTAAGATTATTATCTAGGCAACTTCATGGGATTTTTTATTGTATTTTAATTTCAAAGCGAGTTATGCATATTTTGAGATGTACAAACAATTTACAATTTTAAATTAAAATATAATAAAAAGCCCACGAGGTCGCCTAAATAATAATCTTACCTTTAGATTTTATAAGAGGCCAATAAATTCACTCTAAATTTTGAAATTAACAAAGCTACATGTGTTCTGCTGAACATAAAATTTACTAATACTATGTTATGCACTTGTAAGATAGAGACAACACATGCAGGTATTACGTCCTCTTAAGAGTGTATTGACCTATTATCAAACTTTTAGATAAGAACATTAGCTGTGTTTTCTGGATGGCGTATTTAAGATACTTAAATTTTTAAGTGAATTAAGAGTATTTTCAAATATTAATCTTTTACATTCTCACAACTCAATTAAAAATTTATATTATTCGTGTGCAAGACGGAGACAACAATTACAGGTACAAAGTCCTCATGAGGTTTCTTGAAGTATAAGGAAAAACCTCCAAAAATGTAACAAGTACAATTTAAATCCGGATTAATTGTTTGTTAATGATAATTTATGATATCTTTCAAATCTATACTCTAACAATAATAATATACAACAATCGTCAATGTGAACAAGGAGCATATGTTTTCAGCTTCCAATATTGTTTTACAATAATAATTAAAATGCACATATTCTGTATTTTTGTAAAATATACTGCCTAATCTGTTTATTTTTAACTAATATCAAAGGTTTATTCAAACAAAATTAAAGTCAACAATTAATTAACTTACTTGGTTTTATTAGTTTTGATGAAGTTGGCGTTAAAAATTCATTAATAGTAGATGATTTTTCTAAATTTAATGATCTTTTTGTATCTAGAAAAATATATTTAAACACAGTCCAAACATTAAGTGAAATTCATTAATTGTAATCAAATATAAGTTATAAGACTTTTTTAATTCTTATCAGTAACTCAAGCATTACTTCACATTATTAATTCTATGTTTCTCAAATTTAACAAAGAAAAATTCATTTTTTTTTAACAAGTAATTGCTGTTATAAGAATCACCCTAACCTAAAGAAACCACCCACTAAAGATAAAATCTTCACATAATTATTAGATATTCTAATATCAAGAGGATGTCAGGTGCAATATATGTTTTCTCTCTCAGACCCATGCGCAACATAGATAAAACGCTTCACCTAAAATATTTTTTTTTTTTTTTTGTGATTTTTGGGTTTTCTCCAGAGTAAAATCAACTGCATATTAAAGAAAATTATAGAGGATAATATTTTTGAGAGTATGACATAATATTTTATTTATATTTTATTAGGCTTTGACTTTGTATAACTTTCAAAATAAACAAAAAAAAAAAGTTGTAAATTTAAATAGATGTATAAATTTTTTTGAGACAATATTTGATTTATTATCTACCCTCAAAAATATAACTTAAAAACATTAAAAAAATGATTCTGCATAAATGCATTGTGTCTATGTTGCGAGTGGGCCAGAGAAAGAAAACTAATAGTGTGCTGATATCATCTCAATTAACTTAGAATTTAATCTAAATTAATCAATAGTAACTTGTTGAAAAAAAAATGAATTATCTTTTACATATTTAACAAATATTCAGGAAATGTTTTTTTTTTTATTATTATTATTACTCTAGAATGCAAAAGGACAAGAGGTAGTTTTCTTATGTATTTCATATTAAAATAAAAATACTTACTAATTGTAACTGGTTGCTTATTTCCTGTAACTACTGTAGGTGTTGATGAAGCAAAATTGAAAGGTGTTTTTGAACTTGGTCTGTTTATATTTGACAAATCTATCACATCAGATTTTCTTTTAAGAGAACCTTTATTTAAAATGACACAGTAATTTTAGTTTATTTTATACATTCACAAACCCTGGGAGGTTATTTTTTAGAACATTAAAACTATTGTACTATGGAAGTAATAATGACAACATCAACAGTATATCATAGGTAAAAGTATAAACTTATCTATAGGTAAGTATATTGTACATATTGGTAAGTATATAAGTACATATTGGAAGGGTTCAAGCATGAGTATATAAACGAATTGGTGTAAAAAAATGTACATTTATTTTTAATTTAATACTTTTAAAATATATACAAAAAATAACGTAGTGTAAATGCAGTATAAATTATTTTGTCTTAATTATAATATGCAGTTGGATCTTTTCTCATTAGTTGTTGCTTGTGGTAGGAGAAGTGAGTACTAACGGATCAATTTACATTATACTTGGTACAATATGTAACTATAAAGGTAGTCATAGTAGTGTCAATGTAGTATGTAAATGATCGATAAACCTCAAAATTGAAAAATAAATAGTACCAGATATTTACAATTGTAAAAGTAATGATATCATTTAATGAATACTGTCTTTGAACATATCAATTACAAATATTAAAATATGAATGGATCTAGGGGTCCCTTAAGCATCCTCATAAATACGTCCCTAAAATAACAGGTAACATTATATAATTATTAGTATGTTATAGCATAATGATTCAATGACTCATATACGAATATGATAGAAATTTTTCATTTCGGGACTCTCCCATTCTACAAATTTTACTTAATTTTGTATTGATGCAAAAGAATAAACGGGACAACTTTTATAAGGTAGACTACCTAGTATTTCATGTTTATGAATGAAACTCATTTTTAAACTTGTTATCCATTACAAGTCTATGCATATTTTGTACTAAAAAGCAACAAGTGTTAAAAACTTGTAAGTCAGATAAAAAAAATAGAACACAAGTGATTAAGCAGATATTTAACATTTTTAGCTATGTACCATACTGCCGTGCTATACGGATTAAAAAGTATCTTCATCGAACCAAAATGTTGGGAAATCAACTGAACAGGTTTAGACACAAAACTGATCTGAGCACCAAGTATAATTAACATACAGCCCTAAAATAAACGTTCATATATTATACTTATTTTATATCATATAATTGATTTAATGAGTTTTTAAATATTTTTGTTTATTCTTTGACCATCAAAATGGACTATTTGTTAAGCACTATCAGAAACAAAATTACAGTATATTCATTTCTATTTCCCAAAACTGATAATGAACATATTATCAGCTTTGTGCAAGTTGATATGATCAAAATATGTATCAACTACAGAATAAACTACCATGTATCAAATAGAAAATACGGAGATAGGTACTGTGTTTTAGTTACTATTTAAAATATTTAAATGTCTTGAAAATAAGCGAAATAACAGTTACTCCATGTCACTTAATGCTTATTTGCCTACTATTTTGATTTACTATACTTTTGCTTCAAGTTTCACAAAAATTAAGGACATACTGTTTATTTTCTTGATTTAAATTGCTCATTTTCAATTTTAATATTGGATATACTGCTTTTTACTTCAAAAAATTGTACAAAAAAAAACATTGTTAATCCCCAGGTATCAATCTCAATTTTGACCAAAATTGGAGATAATGCTTATTCACTTAGCACAACAGCATAGTCCATAATGATTTCAAAATACATTCACCCAAGAGACAATTTTAAGACTATTTTGTCAGTTTAATTAAGCCCAAACTTAAATATGATAACTATTGAAAATAATTTTAGCTCCTCATAATTTATATTCAATGACCTACTAGTTTAATCGATTATAACATCAAAAATAACAAAAAAAAAAAATAGCTATAGGTAGGTGTGTATAGTGGTTTAGAAGTTTAATTCTTGCCTTAACTTTAAATACCACTGAAATCTTTATTCATTAAACTGAAAATATTGATAAGAAAATATACAAGCAATGTGTATACTGTGGATACTAACACAATCAGAAATTATAAAGAATACATGTTAGTATAAATACTTTTGTCTAGCTAATTTCAAGAATACGGTTTAACATTCACACTTACTTCTATTGCCCACATCATGGTTTTGTAAGGAAGCACTTGATTGGCTTGTAAATTTTGGACTTTGTTTACTCGTACTTGGTATACAAGTAACGGCAGATATCTCTGGCAAAAGGACATTTACATCTACACATTTACAAGTATAACAGTTAAGAAAGGTAGACATTAGACATCACACAATTAGCATTATGGATCATAGCTTACCTGAACTCCTGTGGTTGTCAGTTGAATTTGTATGCTGGTATTTGGTGTTTGTAAATGAATTATTGGACGTGCACAGTTTTTTCACTGGAGGTTGATCGTCATTTTCGGTCGTCGGCGTAGGGTCGTCATCGGTTTGCGCATCGCTGATCAGCGTATTCATCCACGTCATTCCGGGTAGGTATTCGGACACGCGTTTCGTGACTCTCCTCATAAAGGACTGGAAAACAAATATACAAAAAATTAAAAACAAATTGAAGGATCAAAATCGCACGAGACTCGGACGTATCAGACGGTCGCGCAGCACGAGACCATGTGATCGCGCGGCGCAAACGGGCGGGAAAATCAGTAGGATATCGTTGGACGCGACGTCGTTGATCGGAGGAAAGCTTTACGACGGCAAGTCCTCTACTTACGTTTGATTTGTCGTACGGCTTCATGGTTCTCGAGACCCGATCCCATCTACACGCACACAAACCACAAGGCTCAACGTACGCTCGTCGCACAGCGGTCGGACAATCGCGTAGTCGAGGGCATAATCAAAGGAGATAAAAAAAAAAAACGAGGCAGCTGAATACCGAACGCACTTGGTTTCGCGGCCACCTTTGTTGTAATTGTTGTTTGGATTTTGCGATTATTGTGTTACCGTTGTTGTTATTAGTTTTATGGTTTTTATTTTTTATCCCTAATCGTTGTTAACGGAGAACGCGATCGGCACACAAGCGTAGGGACGTGACGGCCATGATGGATAAACTAGATCAGTCCGTCGCGCGCGACCAATTACACTGTGACCAACGGAACGGACCGACGACCGTTATGCCGGCAGCACTGGTCACGGCACTACCGTAGAAACGCCGGATGTAGCGGACAGAGCGCGACGCCGTAAGAATGCCGCCGCCGGAGAGTTTCCCTCCTTCCAGGCGTTTGATGGGGCGGCACCGTTGCACCTGCACTGCTCTGCCCGCTGGATTGCTGGTGGGTAGTGGCGGCAACGCCGATGACCGGTTTGGCTAGGTTAACCTGTGACTGTTGTCAAGCGAACTAATGAAAAGAACATCATGTGTAAAATTCGAGCCAACAAAATCCATGATCAACTCTATGAATGTCACGATGTACAATAAAACAACTGATGTGATAGAAGAAGGAAACATTCTAACCGACGTAACTGAAGCTATTGATTAGTGAACACTGAACAGCGATAACTGATTATGGTGAAACTTAAGGTTTATAGATAATAGATATATATATTATCTATAAACCTTGGGTGAAACTATCATAATAATTAACTATAATTTTTAATTTTAAATATCATGTAATTTTTGTTTTTGAATTTTTTATCATGTTGACAACATGATGTTGTCTGTAATTAATTTTTACTTTATACTAATTTACGTGATTTCAGAACAATAATGACCAATAACATTTCATTTCACAGGCATACATATATTTTGACAAGATGTGATAATTGCTAACTTTTTTATATAATATGTTTATTTGTAAATTTATGTTTTATTATTCATTGAACAATTTAATAATTTTAGATTCTAAGCAGAATGATGCATGTATTGATTTTACAATGATATGTGCATAAAAGTGTGATTTACATTTTTTATAATATATCCATAACCCATTATAAGTTTTTAGTTTTTACCTGAAGATTGTTCATTGTTATTTGTTATTAATTTTTACTATCGGCAACACTGGTTTTAATGGTTTTAATGGTTTTATAAATATTTGATAAGAATTTGATAAGAATTCGGACCTGTGATAAGAAATTATAACTGATAACCATGCTGATAACCTAAAAAATCAATAAGTACGGTAATATTGTTCAAAGTACGGTAATTTTGTCATATTTTCCCCGCTGACTAGATAACAAACATTGGCAACGCTGCCGCCGGGTAACTTTCGTATTTTTCAATTTTCTCCAGTCGCAAGTGTCACGCTGCTCCGGTTAGTGCTGTTGCGTCCCGGTTCTCGTCCGCCGTCAGTTTTCCGCGGAGTATCTGTCGTTGTAATATTAATTATTATAAATTTTATTGGTCATCTTGATTTTCTCTGCCGAATGTGTCGCGGAACACGACCACCGATAATATCGTAACTACGCTGCAGTGTGCAATATACTCGATTTATTCTGCAGGGGTGCTCTTCTTTTCTTTGCTGCAAGATGCGGCGATCATCTCTTCTCGTCGTCTTGACAATTACAGGTTGGAGTGATTTATTTAAATACACATACCTACCTAGGTACCCATGCAGACATGCAGTAGGCAACCAGTTCCGCAACTACAGTGGTCCGGGGGTGCCAAATACCCTCATTTGGGACCATTAGTCGAATCATGGTCGACATGTTTGATTTTAAATATTAATAATATTATAATATATTTTAATACATGATTTAATCTACTTGTCATATTTATACCTGATCAAACTGTATTTTATACCAATTATACTTACCATTTACCAACTGTATTTTGTACCAATTATACTTACCAAACTGTATTTTATACCCATTATACTGATAATTTAAAATTTTTATTTTGATTGGGCAGCATAAAATAATCTTGGAGCTTGCATCCCCGGCGATTTATAAATTCTAAAGTTGCGGAACTGTATGCGATGAGTGATATTTTTTCTACAGTTTTTTATAAATAATACTACATTTAAATTATAAACTAGATACCTATATTGAATATTATCGAATATCGATGTAATTTTGTTATCTTGGGAGTGTATTGTGATCATGTACCTATACAATACATATAATATAATAAGGGCATACCTATAACTTATAAGGGCAAATCTTCCCGAAACATTTCACATTTGGGAGTTACCTAGAAAAATAAAATCTTACTACTTTCCTCTCAGTATTTTTTTCTTTCCAGACTGGCAAATACTTATTCATAACTATTAGATAATGTAGGACGTAGGCCCGAGTTAAACCTATATAAATATAAAAGCTGTTTTCTGGATTGCTAGCCGAAAAGATTTTTACTATTCGACAGTAATTTTTACGAGATAGAACATGAAACACATAATTAAACTTTAAGTTTCTAACACTAGCTTCCCCTGTAGATACTTGTGTCCCTCCAAAAATCAATGAAAATATTACAGTAGTCGTAAATCATTAAAATTAATCTAATCAAACTATCCAGAACAAATAATTAGCTAAAATTTGTGTTGTACTCTATATTTATTTATTTATTTAATATTATTATTATGGGTAAAAACCCTATTTTACAATGTATAATCTATAATTTATCCTGTCTGGTATTCTGTTATACTTTCAAATATTAAGAGCATGATACAACTATAGGAATTTTTAGTACCTACGTATTACAAATTACAATAGTCTGTCGAAATCTAAATTACCTAATGGGTATAATAGCTATTGATTAAAAACATTTAGTTTTGAAATTTGAATCTCGATCAACTTTTATGAAAAACTATTTAACTATCATATTCGAATCAAATCAATTTTGACTTCGGCTCATGAAAATTTAACGTGATTTCTAACTATCTATTAAAATATATCCACTGATGTCTAAATCAACAACGAAACATAAATGCAGATTAACTCTCAAGCATTTTTGTACATTTTTTGGAATCCTGTGTATTTCAACGAGTTAAAAACAATGGTACAATCAGAATATGTTGGTCAGACTTAGTTTATGCTATAACTTTTTGTTCTCGATTTTGCATATTACCATTTTTTTTTATTCCTTTATTAACAACAACATAAAAAGTAAGTACGATAGGTAATTTCTGATTCCACCAAAATGTTAAGGATGTAAAAACTCACATTTATGAAAAAAAAGTTCAAAAGAATTAATTTTTGTTAAAAACACAATTTTGAAGTTTTGAAGTATTTATTACCATAACTTCCAAAGAAATTTTTACCGACTTTTTTGATAACACTAAGACATATTAAGCATGCCAACATTTCACGTTTTGAAATAAATTTCCAAAAATCGATTGGAATCGCTATTTGTTCCGACAACAAAGTATAGCTACCCTTAAAATCAAAAATATCAAAATATCAAAATATTAAAATGTTCCAATGTTGGTTATTTTATCAACACCGTTGTAAAAGTAGTTTGTATTTACTTATATAGTTATAATATATAGCATACAATAAGTTTCAGCTGAAATAATTAAAACCTAAAAAACTGAAAAAAAAAATTATTGTTTCATTCTCGATTTATACAGTTTTGATATCATTACCTCATAGTTTTATTATATAAATCAATTAGTAAAAAATAATGTATTTATGATTTCCCTGCAGTATCTTGACGGCCTCCCTCGTGCTCTGACTCTAGAATATATAATAGGTGTCTAGACACTATGTTCGGGCTAATTTTGTCTAGACCATATAGAAGGAAAATCTATACTAATACTGCTAATCATTGCATAGTAATATAGTATTATATAGTTATTACTTATTAATTAATAACATTATGTACAAATTATAGATAGACGTTTTTCAAGTAGTTAAGATTAGATACTTAAAAACACTAAAAACTAGGTGTCTATAGGAGGTTTAAATATATATATATATATATACATAAATATAGGTATTTTTATTTATTAGGCACCTATGTACGAACGTACGATATTGCTTAAATAAAACCAGGAATAAAAATATTTTTAGTTTTGAGAATCTTTTTAACAATTAACATTATCCAGATACATCTATTATTATGGTGTAACGATTTCTATATTAACTTAATTCTATATAACTTTTTTTATAACTTTATAATTTGTTTAAATTTGTAGTAAAGTACCTAGATATAATATATTGAGTCTGTTTATTTTGCAATAATAGTTAAGTTACTATAAAATTGGGTAAATACTACTATATATAGGTAGTTATTATTTGTTATTTAATATATACCTATGTGGCTAATGGCTATGGCCATTTTAATTTTTAAGTTAATTTGTTTTATTTAAATTATTATTTTCAAGCGTTTTCTCCTACTACTATAGATTAAATCTGGTCATGTTTACTTAGGTAACGAAATTGTATGATTATCGACATTTTTATTACCTTTCCGGAATAAGTTGCCTATATGTTTTTTTAAAGTGTTTACTCTTTTGAATGATACAAAAGTTAGCTTATAGCCTATAGGCAATTGGCATATTAATATAAATATTATAGCATACCCCAAAGCACAACCACAAATGATAGTTATGTTAATTCACCTGAAATGTGTTTTACAAAATAGGTTCACCAATACATGATATAGGTAGGTATTTACTCATAATTTGAAAAAAGTAATAAGCTATCCATATGCATACTTTTACACTGATAGTTTAAAAACACGCCGTCTTTTTTTGTGATTATAATTTTCATTACCTATTTTATAGATAAAATCCTTGAGAAAAGAGTTAATGAAAAAACGCAATTTTTATTGCATTATTGTTTTTCAAAAGATTTTAATTATTGTAAGGAGCTGAAAGATATTGGGTTGTATTATTATTTCGGGCCTTTAGGGGGAAACTATTTGAACGGAAGAAAGTTCTTATGTTATTTGTACGTATTAAGACCATACAAAAATGTAAAAAAAGAATAAATACAAAATTACCGAACATCCTTTATTATTTGTTTATACTTATTTGTACCTACTTGTTTGGAACGATAAAAACAAGAATAATTGGTTTATGCTTTCACATTCCATTTTTTTTATAATTTAAAAATTTTCTTAATAAACCTTATTTACATTTGAATTATTTATTAATTATGTTTAATTAAAAGTGTATATTTCAATATTTGCATTACCTGCTGTTTGCTATATTAAGATTTATGCATATAATTCCATACAATATAAATATATAAAACGCTGATATTATTATTACCTATGCTCGGTAATACCTACATCATGTTTCACTGATGAGTAGTATACAATTGTGAACGGTCGGTAGTCGGAAATGCTCTAAATTAATACATTTATAATTGTATTTATAATAAATATTACAAAAATAAACTTAAAAAAGCGGGTAAGTGGATGTCGCTCTGCTGTACAGTAAGTTACAAGTGGGTCATTGTATAATGGATTGTATTAAACTTGAATTCAATGATATATTATCATTGTATAAGAAAAACGATTCTGAGCGTAGACGGTTTGTCAGTTTGGATATTTTATATTGTTATTATTTATTATATCATGTAAGTTGAATTAATATTGTTATTAGATTCTGAGCGGAGCGAGGAAGCTATAGGGGTTGTACAATGGTGTTTATTTTTTTTTTTTATATCCTGTATACAAAATTTCTACCAGAAGGAGTTCTTCGATTTCAACATATTATAGTACCTTATCTTTTAGCAAATTGGATCAAGATGGTACTTTAAAGAGATCATTTTTCGAGTTTATCAATAGTTATTTAATGGCTTAATGCCACGATAAAAACCACCGAAAATTACAAAAAACAGCTAAAAATTGGATTTTAATTTCTAACGCTTTGTATATTACCATAGAAACGAATAAAAAATTATAATATTATATTATTAATTCAACTTAGGTACATGATATTATAATAAATAAAAACAATATAAAATATCCAGACTGACAAACCGTCTCAGCTCAAAATCGTTTTTTTTATACAATGATATTATATCATTGAATTCAGGTTTAATACAATCCATTATACAATGACCCACTTGTAACCTAATGTACAGCAGAGCGACATCCACGTATCCGTTTTTTTTTTTTTATTCGTTTCTATGATAAACAAAGCTTTAGAAATTAAAATCCCATTTTTAGTGGTTTTTCGTAATTTTTGGTGGTTTTTCCCGTGGTATTAAATAACTATTGATAAAATCGAAAAATGACCTCTTTAAAGTACCATCTCGATCCAATTTGCTAAAAGATAAGGTACTATGTGTTGAAATCAAAACAATCCTTCTGGTAGAAATAATGTTTACAGAATATAAAAAAAAATAAACACCATTGTAAAACCACTAGCTTCCTCGCTCCGCTCAGAATCTAAAATATTTTTTTTTTTTTTTTTTTTTTTTATTGGATAACCCGCGGCAACATAGGCCATTGGGTGTTAGTGGTTTATTTTTGTGTGTTTGTTTGTTATTACGGTAGGGGGAGGAACACGTGTGTGTTGGGTTTTGGCAGAATTTTGAATGGGGCACCCGTAGGTTTCTGCCGTGCCCCGGAGTGGGGGATGGCGGCACTTGTTCTCCGGACACCGTGACTTGCCCGGAGAAAAATACCGCACAGTGGTCGAGAGGATCGAACCCGCGACCGCCAGCGCCGCAGACGACGTGTCCGACCGCTCGGCCACCTCGTCCCCCAATCTAAAATATGTATAATATATTCTTTATTACCAAACGTGGTATAAAAATAATAGTTTTAATGAGTCTATGGAAAAATATTAATTCTTTTTTCAAGTTGTTATGCTATTTTAAATAAAAATAAAAAGTATTATATACATTTATTTTTTTAATTTATAGTAATAATTAACTTAATATTTTATAGGTAAATATAATTGCTGACATTTTAGTTTCTTTTAGTTAATATTGTAATAATACTTATTTTCAAGATATAGTTTATTAATTATTATATAGTATTTATATTAGTTAGGTACCTACTGTAAATATTTATTCTTCATAGTTGTAATATAATTTTACTACAGTATCTACATAAACAATTGTAACGATTTTGTCATTTTCGAACACATAAATGTAGATACCTAATACCTGTAAGTAAATATTGGAGTTAATAGTAGTAAATATATGTATATATTGCTGTACCTATATTTTATAATATATATAATATATATTATATATGACATATTAATCATTGATCAATTATGATTGTTTACATAGAATCAAAAATTGAAGTAAATTATAAAAGTAATTGTAATGTATTTAGTTCCTAAGTAGTAAGTACCTACTAATAACTAATATTATTATTATTATTATTATGCCATATAGTTATATAGTAGGTACCTATATTATATTACCTATATGGCTATATAGGTAGTTTATTGTAAAAAAATGTTGGTATCATTATTATTTCATGCTTGCTTAAGATTGAAACTTGACGTCAAACCGACAATTATAAACATTTAAAAGAAACATGAGAAACAATAAGGGGAAACGCTTAAGTAGATGTTGATTATTATGATAAGCACCATTCACCGTAGATTTAAATTCAGGTTACACTAGGAAATTCATAGAAATGTCAGTGCGATAATTTTGAAAATTGGAGGATGATTACAACATAACCAAGAGCCACTCGGTCATTTGACACGGTTGTTTGTTTCGCTTATGATTAGCCCAGATCGTTTTTCTTCCGTGAGTCCTCCGTATTTGCTCCATATAACACAATATGTTCTATCACTGTTCACTTCTATGACCTATGTAACATGCTTTAAGTGCTCTACAGAATAACAAAAACAGTAGTTTTTACTTTTTTGTAATCAAAAGGATTTTTGTGGTTACGTATTACAATTATCTAGCATTTAATTTATATTATACAAATAAGTAGGTATAGGTACTATGTAATTACTATTGATATAGGTAATCACTTTGTCGTTACGAAAAATATTTTAAAAATGTAACAATTTAATTATTAAGATATTTTAGATAATTAAATTCATGATCTAACTATAGTATCAAAGATGCATTCTAAGACTATTTGTTTTATCTATAATAATATTATTTTAAATTTGATGTGCATACCAGTTTTTGTAGTAAGTAAGTACACTATACAGGGTGATTCACCATGCATGATCATTGATCACCACCTTTTCTTTTTTAATGACATAGTTATTCAAAATCTGATTATTTGAATTTTTAAATACACATATAGAGACCATATTTTATACTTCTTGAATTTTTTTACCCTACTTAAGGAGTGTCCTTTGGAGGTACAAACTTCTCTTTTTCAAAAAATGAGTTATTTAACTTTAGGTCCATGATAATAGTATACATACGATATGGGAACCATGGTGGTAATTTAAATCTTTTAGTTACTTATATAAATCTAACAATGCCTATTTATAATTTATAAAAATGGTCCAAGTATAATCAATACTAGACCTGATGGCCAATATAACATTTATTTAATATATTTTTGTAAAACTATTTTTAAGGGCTATTATTCTATTAATATAAACATTCTGATAAAGTCATAACTAACCTACCTACTCATTCGAACTTTAAATTAGATACATCGAAATTTTTAGCAAAATTATCCACTTAATTAATAATTTACTTTCAAATTGGCAGATGGGGGGGGGGGGGGGGTGATTAATTTGAAAAGGAGAACGTAAAATCTCAAGAATTTGAAAATATAGCCTTTAAGTATATATATTATATAAAAATTTAAAAAATCAGAGTTTGAATACCTAAATTCATTATTAAATGAAAAATGGAATTGAGCATGCTTGGTGAATCATCCTATATTATTATGTGTTCTTTGGTAGTATCACTAGTATCAATGTATAACAGTAGGTGAATCATATAGGTACCTAGTATATTAAAATGTTTCACAAATAAATAATACTATTACCTAGTATAGGTAATGCCTACGCAGTATATTTTATTATACATGTATAAGTTGTATGCGAGTGAACATACAGAGGTGTTTCACATTTCACCCTCTTGGATTACATACCCCACATACATTTATTTTTTTTTTTTAAACGCAAATGTATTCAGTAGATAATATGGACAGTTTTTTTTATATATACTGTAAAGGTACTATTTAAACAATAGTTATAATGTAGTAATAGTATTAATATTATAATATTAATTTGGTTTTACAGGATTGGTAGGATGTTGGGCAACTTCAACTGAAACCCTATGCAAATTTCCTGGTGCACCAGCACACTCAACTGTATCGTTTTCCAATGATACGTTAACCACTGGTGCAATAGCTACGTATACTTGCGAAAGAGGATTTGAACTTCTAGGACCAGCAAGAAGAGTATGCGAATCTACTGGCGAATGGCTACCAGAAGGAATACCGTTTTGCGGTAAGTTTCAAATTGTTCCTTTCTTAATTTCAACAAATATACAAGATACAAATGCATGGAATATAGTTGTATATAATTATATAACCATATAAATTAATAATTTGAACGATGTTTGATCAAGAACTATTTATCCTTAATATATTTCGAGTTTTTGATTCATTTTTAATCGATAAAAACTGGTTTCTAGTTTCCGGCTTTGTGAACGACACGCTAGTTAGATTTTTAAACTATATTTTGATTTTTGGAAACTGATAGAAAGTCTTCGAGCTTATTCTATACTCCACGATTACTTTCCTTATTATTTTTAATTTTCCATAATATATAGTAACAATTGATCAAGTACTATAGAAGAACTGTTTATTTTACAAATACTATTTTTTCATTATGCGTTTTTAATAAACATTATGTCATTCTTTTGTTATTATTTTTGAACTTTCTCTCACGTTTATAAGCAGTATAAATAAGATTTAATTATTTTTGCTTTAACGGCTACATTTTGTGGAAGTAGTAAATGTTTAATAATATTTACAGTATATTTTATTACAAATTGATACGCTTATAACTCCTATAATGTAACTTAATATAGTGTGTAACGTGTATATAAATTGTATGTATACATATATATAATATATTTAATATATTTTAATAAAATATAGATGAATCTAGTAAGCGAATGATGAGATTATTTATGTATATCCTCGAATTTGCGTTGACAAAAAAACACTAAGATTTTTTACTAAAATTAGTATATACCGTTGGCTAGGATGATAAAAAAAAAATGGTATCATGATTGTCGTCGGTTAGAATAATACAAAGTGGGAAATTATGCTCGTAAATTTAATGCTCCGTGAAAAAGTATATTTTCATGAGTAAAAAATATGGAATTTATTTTATAACAATAGTATACTGCTGATACTTCGACAGATTCTAGTACCGTAAAGAATTGTAGTATGTTATCTCCGCAACAACAGGAAAATATCGTTTAAAAAAATATTCTTTATAGTAAAAATCATTATTAAACCTTAAATATAACTATTTAAAACAAGCTCTTGAACTATAGACATATAATTATATCGATGATTTTATTTATAACTTGTAAATTATGTATCTGATGAATGATGATTAACTTATTTACTTATAGATAATAATGCAAATATTAGTTTTAGTTTATAATTAAATTGTTTTAAAATGATTATTAAGAGTTTTAAGGTACCTATATGTTTGATGAATAACAAACCCAATAAACCCATATTATATAATGTCATTAGGTAGGTACAATAGTTGTACATAGGTAGTTATTTATACACGGGTAAATGATAAATCGTTTATATCTTTTAAAATGAATATGATACTTATAATGTTATAGGTACCTCCACCTATTTAAATATAATTCAAATTAAAAGTTTAAAAATTGAATAATATAAAACTTAAAAAAAATTAAAATAACTTAATTAATTTGATGAATCTCTACACCAGTGGTCGGCAACCTTTTAAACCACGCGCTGGCCATATTTTTTTCAAATGTTCATCAAGGGCCACATTAAAAAAAAATGTTACATATTATGATATATATAATACTAATAATTGTATTTCTATTATATTTGATTATTTTACATAAATATATGAGTGTAACAAAATACAAATGTTACTGGAAAAAATTGATAATTTTTGATTGATAAAATTTGTTATTAATGAAATTTCTGTGCCTGCAGTTTATTAGATAAATTTTCGATATCAGCTTGCAGACTTGTAATACAGCGCATAAATGTCCATCACTAAGGCGTGAAGAGTGCTTATTTTTTCTGTACTTCACAATAGAAAATGTCTGCTCACATATATATGTACTTACAAACGCCTCTATAAGTTTTGTGCGAATTGTCTGATTCCAAGTAATGTAGATATTGGAAGACAACTTTAAAATTGAGGCAAACTAGTTGCTTCCAGAAAATAATTTTTTAGAACCTCGTCATTTTGAAGTTTAATGACTTCCATTTGTAATCCATTCTTGACATTATTTATTTTTTTGTTTATTTACAAAAATAAAACACAAAAATTAGCCACATTTGTGAGGGCCATCAAAAATTGCTTCGTGGGCCGCGGGTTGCCGACCCCTGCTCTTCACTATAGGACACAGATACCTACAATGTGTGTAGAAATTAAGCAAAGTATATGTATTATGAATTAGAATATTATGTTGTATTATAATAATATTATATATTGTATTGCTTATACTTACGGAAAAGATGAGCACGGAAATTTGTATAATTTTAACCATGGGAAATGTTGAAGCAATTAATACATTTTTAGTAAGGCGTTAAATTCTCATTTACATCTAGAGTAAGAAGTAAAAAGCTAATTTGTATGTGACCCTATTATAACTTCCAAAGTGGGTGACGTATTCATTCCTGTGACCCATCGATTTGTGGGGCCGACACCATTAACCGTAGAATTCTATCGGGGGACAAACCAATACTTATACATACATAGTATATTGTACAATGTACATATATGTATTATTATGTACTCAATAGTATAACGTATATACTGAACACGCACATATATACGTAAAGAACCTGTTTTTTTCGGCTTACAAAGTTACTATAATCTTGCCACGTTGAACGATAAATTAAAATAATCACGGTTAAGAAGAAAAGTACGCATGTTTAGAAAAATAGTGGCTATAATATTTGAATCTACATAGTATTATAATATCGTATTATCGTCCTATTATTATTAAAATCGAAAATGATACACAATGAGAACATCGACAAAGGCGTGCACTTATTATATCTTATTGATATTTGATGACACATATAAAATATTTTCTCGACCAAATACAACATTAATTTTATGTCACACACTCACACGGAAATCCTTTTGTCGCCGTGATGAATTTAAACACACATTATTATTATGGTAGGTAGATACTTTGCGTGTTATGTACACGCTAATACGTGGCCCAATTTTTTTGGACATACTTCTACGTCTTCCCATATTATAATAGTCATAATACCGCTATTACAACGGTAAACTACACCTTCTCGCCTGCGTCTCGTTCATTCCACCTCACGTTTAGATCTGACAATCGGCACCCATCGTTGCATGATAATTGTCAATCGGCATGAGTAATCGATGAGTTTGCCAAATCATTATCAAGATAGCAATCGTTCAAAATTCAATAGCTGTTTGTTTTTTCCTAACCTTAAATTTCCAACGATCCTTATAGGTATAGGGACTTTTTTATTATCAAATGAAAATATCAAATTCACAAGTTATAATAATGGGTAAGACCATTTAGGGATAACTGATAATTAAGTTTTTATTGTTTGACGAATGAGTGTTATTAGTAACTGTTTTAATTGAGAAAGTTTGAAGTTTGAACCTCACGGTTTAGGTTAGGCCTTATATTTTTCATTAATTGTTTTCATAATAATCTCATACCTACGAATAAAAAATATTTAACTCATTTTTTTATTTAACACTAGCAATTTGATCACGTGTTACAATACAAATTAAAATAAAGTTAATATCTGCTTTTCAAAAGTAAAATAAGACCTTATATCTACCTAACTTCAAATATAATTATCAGATAATATAGGTACCTACCTACAATATATCAATATATTATAAAAGTATTAAATGATGACGAAAAATTTAAATGTAGGTTTACTTATATATTATGGCTGTACAATGTATATTAGATTATATTATACATATAGTATTTTCTATAATTTTTTTTTTCATTCGCAATAATTATATGTACAATGTATTCCTTGCAAATTAGCTGAACTCCTAGAATCAGAAAAATTTTAAATTGTTAATATAAACTATGTCAATTCTTTTACAAACAGTTGGGGATAATATAGAATTGTATAATAATATGGTGTTTGTATTATTATTATTAATAATTGGGGTTTTATTTATTTTATCATTTTTTCTTCAAATTCGATTCGGAAATTATGAAAACGTACCTTACTACCTTCCTATTATTAAATATAATTGAGTAACAAAAAAAATAGGTATTTTTATTAATACATATACGATGGACATCTTCAAGATATGTGGGTAGGCAAATAATTTTTTTTTATAAGAGTCATCTGAGCGTTATAAATCCGTAAGATTCGCACCATAATTGACCATTTAAATAGTACATGGATAATGAATTTACCTATGTCGGATAAGCGTGGTCTCTTAACCTCAATATATGCTATTGTGTAGTTTAAACGCATTTAACCAATATTTCATACATACAGAAGATGAATTTAAATAACCTTATTATATATGTTATAAAATATAGTTCACAAATATTTTGTTTTTGTTATAATTATTAATTTGTAATGATTCTTAATTAAAAAAAAATTCTAAATTGATTGAAAATATGTAAAATAGTAATTATTTATGTACCTACTGTCATAGTTGGAAACTTAGAAATAAAGAATATGGGTCCTCTAATATTTTGGTATGTTATGCTGGAAAAGGTAAAGGATATAGTCTACTTACTATTACCTTCATCATACATTCATACGTTCATGCCTATAAGCATGATACAATGAAAGAGTAAACGTAGAGGAACAACTTGAAACTGTGTGCATAACGTATTGATTACTATACTACCTATTCTTGTAGTTTATTAAATCTATTATTTATATACTATATTATTATGATACCTCCCTACAATAGTTTCAAATTTGCATATCATGATTTATCTTTAGAAAATAAAATTGAAATAAATCGAATAGGTAATTAAAATTAAAATTAAGACTGCGAAGATTAAACTTAGATTTAATTTTTAATTTTAAAATGCTCTGGACTTTATTATTCAAACCACCCAAAGGTTATAAATATGTTTAACAATTATATAATATATATATTTTACATACTAGATAACAAAAAATATTTATTCATTTCACACGTTGATGTTAAGCTTAGGTATATAATAAATAAATAGGATGAGTCAATGCATATAATATTGTATTGTTGTGAATATAAAATTGACATTA